CCCAGGGCCCCAACAAATGTGTCGGTTCCAGGAGTAGGCCCCTGGAACTGCTCTCCCTCACCTGCTTCCCCTCTCCTTCCTTCCTTCCTTCTTGTTTACCATGTAACATACCCATGGGATTTGTTTATTATTTTTCCATATAGAGTAGTTCTTTGTATATAAATGACTGAAAAAAAAAAAAGTATGATAAATAAGACAGAGTCACCTAGTTTTGTACCTATTGTGTTTAACTGATGTGAGCTCAGCGATAAGCCGCTCTCTCTATTTTGGTCTTTGTGACGTTATACTCTGCAGAAATGAGCAAATATGATGACAAATAAAAATATAGAGATAATATAGATTGTACTTAAGCTGCCTCTGTGTGGTGCTGTCTGGGTGACTTCTCTCAACTGATCTCAAGTTTTTGCTCATTGCAGGGGCCGAGGCTTAACAGGTCAGTATGTCTTGTCCTCTTCTTGGGGGGCAAGCTTCACACCATCTGCGTGTGCAGGAGCTGATGGAGAAGCAGCACTACAGCAGCCTGGGGCTGAGACATCCCTGATGGCCCAAGGCAGGAGCACAACCCATTTGTCAAAAACCTGGAGTAAAGATGAGTCCATCTTGGGTGCTTGGTGCAAAACACCTGTGGGAGAACAGGGGCTGCTTTCTCTGACACGGGCCCCAGCAAACAGGGGCTCTGGGTTTTTCTTCCCTGAGCAGTAGTGGGGCTGGGGCAGTTTGCAGTGGCGGAGGGAATGTGAACATAAAACTCAGAACCACCATGTGAGCATTGCAAGGTGCCTGGGCATCAGGGGAGCATGCTGATCGCTTCCACTTCTGCTCTGAGGAAGGGTGGCTTTTCCCCACAGTCAGGGGGGGAAGGTCAGGCTTCACCTCCAGGTAAGGCACCTGCCATGCTTCCTTCCCCTTCTCCTGCCACCCACGGCTGTGAGCTCCCTGCTTTCCTCCTCGCTGTTCCTGAGTCAGGCAGTGAGGTCACACGGCAGGAAAGTTTTTGAGTATGAGGCTGCTTTGATTGCACCTGCCTCTACTCCTGCACTGGGTTTGAGGGCAGCCTGGAGGGAATTTTCCTAGCAAAAAGCATTATCTTTTGTAGGAAAAGCTGATTGAGCCCAGCTGAACTGCTCCTGAAAGCAAGCACTTTGGGAGGTGATGTTCAGCATTAAGCTTGCTTACTGAGCCCTTTTCTTCCAGAGACCATAAATCCCTATTTGTTCTAAGAAGTCATGTGTTGTCCCCCATCCCATCTCTTTTGGGCACGTTCTTGAACATGTCCTGCAGCAAAGCTAGAAGGAGCTAGAAAACCTGGTCTCGCTGAGAGACAACTCTGTCCTGGTATTCAAGAATGACCAAAGACACTCTCACTGTGGGAAAAAAACAAAAAAACAAAAAAAAAAACCAAACCAAGAACTTGCTTTATTTGTAAAGTCTACAAAATACAGAGGAGTCAGGTAGGACACATACTGTAAGTCAGAAAATAAATAAGTATTTTTTTTTGCTCTATATAAGTATAAGATAAAATGTGATTTGCATATATAAAATATAAAGTACGGCTCTGTACCAACATCCTGGCTGTGCCGAGAGGCGGAATGGCAAAGAGGACGTGAAAATAACTTATGTTCGTGCAATAAATAAACCTAAGAGGAGCTGGGGTGGGGGGATGCTAACCACAGTGCCTTCTCCATGAGCAGCAGGCACCTCTCTCCAGGGAGGGATGGAGGCTGCAGCCGAGGGCGGCTGGCATGGCAATACCCAGGCAGGGGCAGAAAGGGGAGGATCATCGATGGCAGCAGATGCCAAGAAGGGTCTGCTTCCTGCTACCTTCCCCTGTGCTGCCTGTATTTAGCAAACCCATCTCTTCTCCAGCATTTCAGCCTGCTGAAGAGCCGGTTGTCCCACACAGGTGTCCAAGCTGGAGGAGAACCAAAGGGAGGAGCCTACCTGCCTGCCAGGCAGCTCCCAGGAGCAGGGATGCTCTCCACCCCTGCTTCCCACCTCCTGTACCTCCACCCCTCTTTCTGCCTCCGCAGCTCTGGCTCTTGGGGACCAGAAGCACCTTTCCATGGGCTTTGTAGGCGGTGGGGCACCAGGGAGTGTTTGGTGGGGCCGTACAAGAACCAAAACAGTGTTGATCTCTGCTCCGGCTGCCTCCGCTTCCTTCCTGCCAGTGCTGCTGCATTTTGGACACACAGCTGGGCCGAGCGTCCCATAGGCAGGAAGAGGCGTGAAGGATGTGCGTGATGGAGAAAGCTAAACCACCACCACTACTTCTCCCCTTTGCGGAGAACAGCCTGGGCTGACCTGCTCAAGTGCCCCCACTCTCCCCTGCCTGAGAGACCTTCCTCCATCACCGTTTCCTTCCTGCCAGTGCTGCTGCATTTTGGACACACAGCTGGGCCGAGCGTCCCATAGGCAGGAAGAGGCGTGAAGGATGTGCGTGATGGAGAAAGCTAAACCACCACCACTACTTCTCCCCTTTGCGGAGAACAGCCTGGGCTGACCTGCTCAAGTGCCCCCACTCTCCCCTGCCTGAGAGACCTTCCTCCATCACCGTCACCTCTGGGGTCCCCCAGAACCACAGGCAGCCACAGCGCTTTCCCATCCCACTCGCCCTTACCTGCGGCCACTTTCTCTCCCCCTCTGACCTGCCATCTTCCCTCGCCATCTCCATCCCTGGAGACTCCAGCCATGCTGCCACCTCCCCCTGTGCTCCAGCCATGGTCGAAGTTGTGGGGCCAATGCTGATAGCCCTCTCCATCACATCCCTTCTGCCCTTCGCTGCAAAACCTCTCTCGCCTCCTTTCCCTCCCTGGCATGTGCTCCTGGGAGCGCCTGGCCTGCGCTCAGCTCTCCTGTGCCCTCCACAAAAAATAGAAGAGGCACCTGGTGTTTTCCTCCCAGCTTGGAGCTGTGGGATGCTTCCCCATTGCTGCCTGTGTGGGCTTGCCCTCTTTTGCCTGCACGCCTCAGAGAGGAGGGGGCTTCGGGGGCCACCAGTGGGGTCCTGTCCTCTGCCCCAGCACCCACGCTATGGCAGCCCTCCCTACATGGGGGAGCTGGAAGTCAAAGGATGGGAGAAGGATTTTGGGCACAGGTCCCGGCAGAGAGGAGGTCGGGGAGGGGGTGGGAGGCAATTCGTGGGGGAAGGCTCCCCGGGGAGGATTGTGCCTGACCGGGGGACGGAGGCCAGCACTAGGAGTAGGCGGCCTGGTTGGTGCCGGACTTGACAATGGTGATGACACTGGCGGTGGCCACCTTGGCGGGAGGCCCATGAGCGGCTACCGTGCGGGCAAAGCCCTGCAGGGCCTCATACTTGCCACGGAGGGTGTCAAGCTCTAGGCGCATGGCGGCGTTCTCCCGGGCCAGCTTGTCCACCTCCCACTCCAGCTCCATCTTCTGCTTCTGCAGCTCTTCCTTCTGGCAGACGCGCTTCACCCGGCAGCTGGCAGCGTAACCCCGGTTCTTCAGCGTCCGCCGGCGCTGCTTCAGCCTCGCCACCTCCTCCTTGGAGAGGCCCCGCAGGTGGTGGTTCAGCTCCCGCACAGACAGTCCCATCAGCTCCTCATCCGACAGCAGTGGTGTGTTCTCCCCCAGCTCCCGTTTCACCTGCCAGAGAGAGGGGCGGTCACCTAAGACCCCCAAAACCAGACCCCTG